TGTTTGGGTTGTTTGGTTTTTCGTAGCTACGACACCTGGAAGCAGTTCTGTGCAAGGCGACTCGCATGGAAGTTTCAGCCGTAGCGGCCGGCGCCTTAAAGCACCATTGCATTACTGGTGTGGAGAACGAGAGGTTATTGATCGGACACTAAATGTAACTATAGAAGGAGGTGGAACAAACTACTTGCTGGTAGGACTCTCATACGTGCTGTTACTTGAAGGCTGTTTCATGATCGTCTAAACAAAATCTAAGATTGATCTCTTAATGCAGAACTCTTTTGTACTGTGAGTTACTTCTCAAGAGACCAATTTTGGATAAGAATATTTCTGTGGTTAAGGCCTTGGGCCTCAAATTCACTTCCATGCTGTGCCACATTTCCTGTATTACAGGGATGTCAAACTCTGAGCTCGTCCATGGGATGGATCCAAAGTGTGGGGGTGTCATTTGGCCCACAGGACTGAAAACTTGGCAGTGGGAGGAGTGTTGGCTGCTGCAGCTCTGGGACCTATGGCATTTAATGCTCTTGCCACCCGATTTGTAGCTTTGTGTGCCAGATGTCAGAGTCCTATGCTCTGGATCCAGCTCCAGGACTCATCACAGACATAATTAGCAATATTAATCTGAAGTCAAGTAGAAGGCAGGGTAGATTTGTACCCTATAAACTAACCAGGGTAGATTTGTGTGTGGCTGTGTACCACTAGTTTTTCTGGTGGGACAAGCAGAGGCAACATGAATTGTTGCTCTTGGAGCTGCAGCAATTAACTCTGCCAACGTCCATCTCCAAGTTTTGGGCCCTGTGGGGAGCATCTCTGACATGATGACACAGCTCCGTGAGCCAGATGTTTGGCACCTCCACTGATTACAGTGATAAGGCATGTAGAGCGTCTTTACATGTGCTCCAGGGGCAGGGGTCCTTTCATTAGAGCAGCTCTCAGGAGCCACTCTAACTAAAGCTCCTTCGGCATCTCATGCATTCAGCATCCCACATTTCAAAATGGTGGTGGGGGTGCTTTAACTAAAGCTTGTTAAATGAGCTTTAGTTAAAGTATCCCCACTGCCATTTTTGAAGCATGGGGACACTAAATACTTGAGGTGCAAAGGCTGCTGGAGTGTGCTAATTAGCCTGGTCCAGCAGACTTGATTAATCGAGTCTGCTCTGATTCACTGTAATTATGTTGAATGTTGAAGCAGGCGTCCCACATGTCTACAGGCACCCTTATGGTCAGATTTTCTTTTAGCAAAAAAAATATATATATATTTTTTTTTTTAAAGGACAGTTGGATCTTAAATCTCAGTACTTTTGTCCTGTTCCAACTGTAAAGGAGGAATAAAAGCACTTCCTTATCTTAGTGTCAACAGGAGAGCAAATAAATCAAACTGGAGGTTGCTCCCACATTATGCTGTCAGGTGTGTATGTCATGGAAGCATCCTCAAAATGCTGATTCAGTGTTTTCCCTTGCAGCTGCAGGGTTGATTTTTGAATTTAAAAATAACATTAGGATCAAATTAAGGGAAGAAGCTCTTGTCAGTGCATTGGGCCTCCCATTTGTTTAATCTGTGCTGTTTTTTATTTCTTCTCTTCACATACGGATTTGCAAAAGAATTGGGACAAAATAGGTGCATCTACACACGTATGCGCCTTTTCTAATGCGCACTAAATTTAGTACCTCCAGTATGAGGTACTAAATAAATCTGCAGTAGGCTAATGCACAGTAGCACCCGCGCATGCTTTTTAGGTGACGCTAAATGCACAGTAGCCTATTCTACTGCGCACTAGTGTATTAGCACAGTTTTTTTACACACCACTTTAATGCGCAGTAGAATAGGCTACTGAGCATTAAAACAAATACATAGACATGCCCTTAGTTCTTTAGCTTTAGTTGGTTTTAAAAAAGCATCCTGAAACTTAAAGAAGATTGGATTTTAGCTGCCTTACTAGTGATGTGGACCTCAGTTTGGGAGACACCTTTCTTAGTAGTTTCATACTATTACAAATTATATATATAAACTATTAAGAAAGTGTCTCCCAAACTGAGGTCCACATCACTAGTAAGGCAGCTAAAATCCAGTCTTCTTTAATGAGAGAGATTTGTAATTTTATTTATATAAATAAATTTGCTGTTTTGCTCTCATCATGTGGTCCCACGCTTGACTCAAGATTTATGTTCCAGAGTCATCATTCTGATACAATTTGGTGACATGTTATGCTAACATAACTACTTTTTTAAATCCCCCAACCCTACGAGAACAGTCCAGAAGAACTTATGAGTTGCTCAGTACTTGTTTCAATACATTTGACAAGTATAATCTCTAGCAGAAGTGTATATTTATTGTCTTATTTTTCAAGGACTATAGTGAAGTATCCCGAGAGAGAGCCATTTCCAGGTCTCTGAAGAAGAACAGAAAAGATGCAAGAAAGACAAATGAAGGAAAAACTAAAAGCCAAAAAACAGGTAAGGGCACGAGGTTCAGTGAACGATCATTAGAAGCTGGGGGAGGCAGTTGGTGTAAGAAGGTGGATCAGTTACAAAACTGAGCAGTGTTGTATATCGATGTTGAAAATGTTTAAGCTATCTTGACCAGTGACTTTTGTATAACTCGTAATTAAAACAACACCTTATCCAATTTTAAACCTAAAATGAACTGCAGAAAGTAAGCTGACTGCATAAATAGAGGACAAAGTATATCGCCTCATCAAACTTCTTAAAGCTTTGTTATAAGGCATTTTTGGGGAATAAGGCACTAAACTCCAAGCTAATTTGAAAAGAAAGTAAGTAAAAATCCTTTTGAGTAACTGAAACATATAGAAGATCCAGTCGTGCAACAAAGAAAATAGGTTTTTTGCTGTGTACCAAAGTAAATGCAAGTGCAAGGGGGCTGGACCCGATGATCTGGGGTCCCTTCCAGCCCCTAACATCTATGAAACTTGTAGCTGAATGGCTTATATAGATTAAAATTCAGCATTTCCTGTTGACTATCTCGTGTTCTGTATCTGTGCAGTGTCTACAAGTTGAAACCTTCAAGGTTCTTGTAGTTCTTATTCTAAACTCCTTCTGTAGTCTGAGCTGGGTGCGTCCAGCTGTTGCATAACTGTCCCTTGCATGAAGAGCCCTGTCCATTGTGGGGCCTGCTTGCTCTGCTCATTTTGAATAGAAGGGTTTTTGCGCCATGCAAATCAAACACTAACTTTTACCCACCATACATAAAATGTGATGGTGGAGCAAGCTAGTGGCTCTCTTCGCTACCCTCCTGCATATCGGCATACAGAAGTGCCCTGTCTAGTGGACTGTGCTACCTTGCATGTATAAATGTAGCCTTTGTTTCCCTGGTGGCTTTGAGAGGACTGGGCTCCCTAACATTGCCTTGATAAGCGCGACTCTATGCAAGAGGGCAGAATGACACTTCTGTTGTACCCTCGTGAAGTAGAATCTGTGACAGGGGCAGGGAGCCAGGAAGCTTTGCCAGGCTCGCTAGGAATTTAAACTAGTCTTCCTGCCTGGTATGAGGTGGGATCACAGCCTCTGAACACTGCGGGGAAAGGAGTCCTAAGCGCCCTGGAAGAGATGCCCCGGTAAGGTAACTCTCATCTGCCTGTGCCATGGCCTTTCTTTTGCACAGAGGGGGCAGTGCAGAATGGGAGTTAGTGTAACATTAGTGCAACACTAATTCCCACTGGTTTTGAGGTGGCTTCTGGATGTCTGCAGAGAAGCAGGCTGCTTAAACGTTCGCTGCTTAGCCCAGCACGAGCAGATGAACAAACGTCTGATCTCAGGACCTCCATTCTCCTATTGTCTTGATAGACAGGCTCTCGTGACGTTGTCTGCTGGGGAGCTCTCTACTTAGTTTCCCTCAGCTTCTGTTCGTGCGAGGGGAAGGGGGCATTTACCTCTTTAACAACGGTGTGTGGAGTTAGATGTAGCCAGTACTGGATATTGCAGTTGGTGTACACGCACCACAAGAAGGACTTGTCTTGGTATACATGAAAATATAGCAAATATGTATAACTTCTTTTTTTTCCTTAGGAAAAGACAGCGAGAGGAAGGCAGATTCCCAAAAAGGAGCTGTGTCTAGTGATAAGAAAGGCAGCAGCCACCTTATTTCAAATCTGGATGGAATTGACTCTGCAGTTGACCTTCAGAAAATTAAGGCAAAGACTGTTGTGATGTTGACTCCCTTGCATGGTAAGAAGTTAGACAATTTAAGATATAATTTCAGGACTTCAGGAAAGCCTACAGAGAGGAAGGAGATGACATTTGAAAAGAATACCAGAGATCACAGAACAAATCCAAGCCAAGTTCTACAGACTTGCAGGTATTCTCTTAGATTAACGAAACAACGCCTCCAAGAAGAGCGGGATGAATCCAGTGAAGAGTCCTCAGTGTCCATCAAAAGAAAAGTGAAACCTGTTTTGGAAAGAGAAGCTCACAATTATAAATCTTCCTCTGACTTAAGAAGTTCAGAGAACCAAACAAAGAAAGCATCTTCTGAGCAAAGAGTAGTGAAAGGTTCTGCAGCTAGTTCTTCCCACAACGGTCAGCAAATGTTTGATCTGTCCGATGAAAGTGGATCCCGTTCTAAGTCACGCAGGAGGCACGTGCCTCCTGTTAAGTTTGGCAGTTCCCCTCTGCACGTGAGACGGTCAAAAAGAGCTCTCGGAAAGGGAAAAGAAATTCCTGTGTATCTGTCTGAATCGGAAACGGAAGAAAGCAATGAAGAATTTTATATAAAAGAGAAGAAAAGAAAAGCATCTACCAAAAAAACTGATAATAAGATTTCCAGTGGTGCAAAGTCTTCCCCAGTGAAGTTAAAGGAATTTAGCAAAGGAAAGGTACCGAATTCTTTGGGCCCTTTTCCAGGTATAACTGAAGACTGGACTGAGAAGGAATTACAGAAGCTACGTAGGCAAGTAATTATGATCTGTAATGCTGCATCTGTGGGCAATGTAACTGCCTCGAGTGTTTCAATTTAACCTACCATCACTTCGGTTGATGTAGCCAGTGTAGAGTCAGATGTGCTAGCTTAAGTAAATATTAAATGTTATTTTGATTTAATATTTATTTTTTCTTACGTTCAGTTCTCTCGTAGATCTGACTTTTTTAGTCTTTTACCTGACACAAGTTAAATGGTGAATTTGGGTGCAAAAGATGTTATTCTGGAGAAATACCTAAAGTAGAGAAGAAAATGCTACTAGTTTAAAAATTAACAAAATTGAAATTGGGTCAGTTTTTCATGGGGAGGCCTCCTAAAGGAGCTGCAAAAAAGCAAATGTGTAATAGAAGAAACCCGAAATGAGATCTTTGAAGAAACGGTTGACTCCAGGGTGGTTACTTTCTAAAATGCAATACACTTTCACAACAGAAATGGTTGAAAAGGTTAGGATGGTTTAGCTTAGGATGGAGGCAAGCAAGGTGGCATGAAGGAGAGGTGTACACACAAATAAGTGGGCTGAGCAAGTGAGCTCTCTTGGGATATAATAAGGGCTGTTCAACCACAATAAAAGGAAGGAACACTGTTTCTAATTCTGCATACTGACCGGTAGTACTCACTGCCACCATGCATTCATTAAACCGCTAGCTGAGCCAGGTTGAGCATCTCTGTGAGTAAACACTGACGAACTGGAGCTACTTTAGGTAAAATGTAAAAGGAATCCAGATTTCTATGCCTGGCACAAAATGAGTTTCTCCCTGAGTTTAGGAAGGGATTACTTTGCATTCCTTTTAACCCAAGAATCTCTTTAAATAAGTGGATTCAATCTGACAATTCAGAGATCTGATTTTGGGGTTTTTTATTGCTGTTATTTATCTGTTGTTTAACACCCCTCCCTCCCCCCCAGTTGTTGAACATTTTACTTCAATCTCAAGATTATCACATCTTGTATACTGTTTGCAGTGCGGTTGGTTCTTTTCCAAAACACAGAAAGGGCTTTTGGGTGGATGTAGCAATGACTGTCGGTACTCGATCCGCTGAAGAATGCCAGCAGAAGTATATGGAAGAGCATCAGACGAAGAGTTCCAAGCCGCGCGTCGCAACGACGACGACTGCTTCAGGAAAAAAAGCAGAAAAAGGTACTGGCCTTCCTGCCGAATCATTTTTCTGGCTTTCAGCCCTTTTGGGTTTTTTGTTTTAATCCATCGTGTGTGAATGGATTTAAACAGTGGTGATATTGCAGTGGAGTGTTTTACTCAAAACTCCACTCAAAAATCATGATCAGGGTTGCAATATCAAGGACTCAAAGTCAGAATGGTCGGGTGTACTATCTACGTTCAGCCCCCACATGAGTGTGCAATAGGGCAGTGGCTTTATTTTTTTGTGTGTTCATTTGTGGACCCCTAAAAAATGTCGAATGGCATGTGGGCCCCTTTGAATTGTAAGTGTGGGTATTCACATACTCTTGATTGATCATAGTCACCTTTCATGCACCCCTTAGTCAGTCTGCAGATCCCCAGGGATCCGCGGAACCACAGGTTGAAAACCACTGCATTAGGGCACAGTCTGTCATGATTGCATACTGTTTTGCCACAGGACCCTTGGCATTGCTCCAGGAGGGAATCGGGGTTGCATGGCTGTTGTCCTTAGGCCTCTGCCTTATTAGTTGTAGAATATGAGGAGTGTTCATTCATCAGCCAGATTTGACCCTTTAGATCCCTGATGTGAACTGCCGCCACCTGATAACAGCAGTACGTTGGCATCCTGTAGGAAGACAAGTGATGGAAGGGAACAGAGTCTGTTTCCATTGGGTTTCAGTGATGATAGTTACTAAAGCCAGAAGGGTGAGACTTGGTGTCCACACCAGGCTGTGGAGGGGACTGTACTCTAGGCACAGACCTGTACCTCTTTCCCCCAATAATTTGAGTCCATCCACTCCAATATCCCATGTCCCAGTCCTGCCACTTCCCAGGCTTCTCATCTAATCTCCAGTTCTTCACTTTCCCAGCTCCTATATCCCGATCTGTGCCAACCTTCACTTCAGGTGTACGTCCCCTTTGTCCCTGCTGCCCTTCAGTCATGTCTTTCCCTTCCATGTTACCTGGCTGCAGGAAAGGGCTGGTGAAGGCACAGAAAAGGCAAACTCTCTCAGTTCCTGTGCCCACACTTCATTGCCCACCCCGCTCCCGACCTTAACCAAGAGCAGCTGTTACAAAGGATGTCCAGGTTCATTCCTACGCCCATGTTCATTCCTATCCCATCATACAAAATTTAATTCCAGAACTACGGTTCAAATCTGGCCTTTTAGTAAGATCCTGCCTGTGTTTAAACATGTAAACATGATCTGCTTAAAAGTACTTGATATTTATTGGCATGTAATTTTAGGCAAAAGACATGACAAACCATGAACAAACGTTAGTACTAAAACTGGAAAAAGCATCCTCTATTTTCAGTGCAACTAATCCTTTGGGGCCTGTCCTTGGTTATCTAATTCTTTCGTGGAATTTGTCAGGGAAATAGCAGCTTGGCTGCCTTAATTCTGTAGGGGTTGATTTCATATTTGGGGGCAAAGATGTTGTTCTAAAATAGCATATGAAAATGTTTGGCTGATTTATCATTGTAACAGTAGTTAAGAATCCACAGGCCCACACTTTTTGACAGCTGCCTCTAAATAAATGTCATGTGTGCTGGTAGATGAACAAAAGAAGCAGCCAGTAATGATAACAGCTAAAGCAGGAACTCTTAAAAGGAAGCAACAGATGAGAGACTTCTTGGATCAGCTGCCAAAAGACAACCATGATGATATTTTCACTACATCACCCTTTCAGAATAGAAGACTAGAGGTAAATCTGCTTTCAAAGAAATTGAATGACGTAGTTTAAGAAACCTGCCTTCTGGCAGTAGTCGGAGCACATTACAAACGGAGAGCAGCGGGAATGTATTGATGGTGACATCGCTGTCCAGTTCTTGTTGCTTTATGTGCACCAAGATCTTGAAAAGTCTGTACGTGCCCTCTCTCTCAAAGATAAAATCTCCTTCAGCTTTGAAACACTGGGCCTGCCGAGTGCAGTCTTGTGTGGTTTTGCTGGAAAACTTGAATGCGGACCGGGACTCTTGATACAGACTGGGAGATTTTACGCAGAGGTGGAGAATTTAACAAATATGTCTTCTCCCCAAGCTTTTACCCTGCATTTGGATTAAATAGACGTTAGCAATCCAGAGGCTTTGTCTGCAGTAGCAAATAAACTGTTCATTGGTTCTGCTCTTGCCTACACTTGGAACAAAGCAACGTTCAGTTTGTCAGAAAAGATTCTGGTTTGCTGTGGCCTGAGCTATATGTAATCTCATTTCCATGTTGATATGTTGAAGTTGTAAAGTTTAATTCTCTGCTTTCCCATTGTCTTCCAAGAACAAGGTAGACAAGACCTGAATTTCTAATATAAAATAACAAGTACATCATCCTTTTTCTCCCTTTTTGTCCCCCCCACCTTTAAAAAAAAAAAAAAAAAAGTTAGATTTAATCTATAGGGGGAAAAAAGCTTGCAGGTGAAGGCCCTTATTCACTATTTTCTTCCTCCTTTAGGTATTTTTATTAAGCTTTTATAGCCAAGCTTTAATGTGCGTGGTTTAATAATGCAGGGGTGTCTCTTGGCCTGCGGGGCTCACTGTGGGACCGGAAATCTGGCACGGGGGGCTCTGATGGGGGGGGGGCACATGCTACACGGGGTGAGGGATGCAGAGGAGTTAGAAGTGCAAGGTCATTGATGCTGATGTGGTTTTGCAGTTACCAGCTTTCTGGGAAAGCCAAGATGATGATGTCTTTGAGCTCATGGACAACAATCCAGTCTCGCCTGCCTCATCCATCTTCCCCTGGGTGAAAACGCCTCAGTGCGAGCACATCAGTCCTAGTATGCTGGGATCAATCAACAGGTAAGGGCTATAAAATACAGTGTCTTGGGTAGTTTTATGTGCGTCTTGCCCTAGAGAAAAGTTATAGTTTTATATTAGGAAGCAGTTTCAGATGCTTGTTTTCTTGCCACTTCTGTCTCCACCTCTTTCATATAAATTGCTTTTGTAACTACACCGGTCTAGAGCTTTGCTTTTACCATTTCGACTGCTGTCCTCTTGTGACAGACTCTTTGAAAACTCGGTACGCGACGGTAAGTCCTTAAAGATGGTGCAGAAGGCTTCGTGATCGTGCTCACAACCGCAAAGTGAACAGAGGAATAGGCTGTTAATAAAACGACAAGCAGACTGAAATGCAGTTGGAATATGAGATGCACAACATAAGTGCTGGAAAGGCGAGGCAGCCACTGGCTTTCATGTGCCGCAGAGCTAATGGCCAGGAAGTATGAAGGGTGAAAGCTGGGAATTTAAATGAAACTGGGAACATGAGAAGATTCTAAAAGGGCCCAATATCTAGTTATAGTTAAAAGTTGTTAATCTGTCTCCCTTGGTTTGTTGCCTTCCTTGGAAGCACCTGTATTTCTTGTGAGTGTGATACTGGTGGTGTGTGCTGGCTGAGAACCTGCCTGGTAAACCCTGTGTTCCCGTGAACTTTCTCTTGGATGGAGAGATGTTTAACAAAGTTGTGCTGTTTGAACTAGGAAACAGGCATCCAGAAAAGGAGTCATTGACTGTAGCCTTTCAGTCTGAGAACGGATTAGTGCTCGAGCTTCACGTTGAGTAGGGTACTGCTGATGCTAGTAATAAATCTTTATTAAATAAAGAGTAAGAACTGCTGCTCTAAGGGTATTCATTTAATCTTGATCCAGTTTGGAGCACTTCAGTGCTGTACAAATGTGCCCCAGTCTTTCCGCACCCCAAGTTCTTCAAAATGCCCATGAAGGCATGCAGTGGCGGTGCTTTCCGTACCAGTATAGCTATTCCAGCACCAGTCAAGATGCAGCTTATATGGCCAGGCGGCATTTCTGTGGGTAAAACTGCACCTGCACAGTTTGCACAAGGGCTTTTTCCGTGTCTGACGGCTGCTAATGTAAACCTGGCTCGTGGTCGTTGAGGACGCTCAGCAGCTTCAGGAGGCTGGACTTCCTGCTGCTGTGGCTGATGGAAAAGGCTTCGCTTCAGAGGAGGGGAGGAATACATCCAGAACCGAGCACTGAGCTTGTCCGTGACTGGTTTGGTAAGTGGGAGGAAGTGTATTATGCTCATAAAGGAAGACGCTGCCTGTTTGTGACGGCTCTCGGCAGTAGTCGGTGACTGGAAGTCGAAGGGAGGGCCAGTTCAGCAAGGAGCGCACAATTGCGGTGGTTGTGCTGGCTTCTGGAGAGGGTTGGGGTTTGCTACTCCATCAGCTCGTCCTAGAACAGCTCTGTTCATTTTCTGCCCGATGCACTGACTGTTGTGTATTAGTTATAACCGCCCTAACTAGTATCCCCAGACTAGGCCTCCCAGTAACGCCGACTGATTGACTGACTGTTTTTACAGGAAGGATTATGATAAGTATGTGTTCAGGATGCAGAAGAACAAGAAAGGCAACACGGCCACTTGGGGCAACATCAAGAAGAAATCGGTAATGGTTTTCCTTCAATTAAACTGCATGACCAACAGATCAAGGGAGGTGCTGCTCCCCCTCTATGCGGTACTAGTCAGGCCGCAGCTGGAGTAGTGCGTCCAGTTCTGGACGCCGCACTTCAGGAGGGACACGGAGAATCTGGAGAGGGTTCAGAGGGCCACTCACATGATTAGTTGCCTCCGTGCAGGACCCTACGAGGGGAGGTTGAGAGATCTGGATCTCTTCAGCCTTCACAAGAGACGTCTGAGGTGAGACCTTGTAGCTGCCTATAAATTTATCAAGGGGGGACAACAGAGAATTGGAGATGCACTGTTTACCAGAGTGCCCCAGGGAGTGACTAGGAATAATGGGTGCAAACTAGTGGAGAGTAGATTTCGGTTAGATATTAGGAAGACATTTTTTACAGTAAGGGTGGCCAGAGTCTGGAACAGGCTGCCAAGAGAGGGGGGGCTATCACCCAGGCTGGAGGGCTTCAAG